TTTTGTAAAGAAGAGCTTTAAAAGTTTAGAACAGGGCCGCCTATAAGTAAAATTTACTATAGAACAGTTTTACTTAGACGGCCAAAGTAGGTTTACTTAGTAGAATTTAGAGAATAGTGATTATTTTTAGAGAAAATTTGGTACAAGTGATCGTCAAGAAGAGTTAGTAATTTGCATATTATAGTCACTCTTGATATAGTCACAACCTTGTTATAGTCACACTATTTCTTAATCTTAGATATGATAAAACATATAAAATTTGACCTTTATATTGTCATACTTTGTTATAATTACCAAATATTCATTTCTGAACTTGGTGATTATATTGAGATCTGACTGTATTAATATCTTGTGATCTGGTGATCTGATCCAAATTTAATGATTTTGATACTATTTGATTTGTCTCATTAAGAAAAATCGAATATATTAAAATTATTAAATTTAAATTACTGGATCACGAGATATCATAAATTTTATTAATTATAAATTTAATTATTATTATTTATTTATTTATTTAAATTATTATACTAGTTAAAAATAATTTTATTATATAGCTATCTTAAAAATATTTTTAATTAATATATCAAAATTAATTATATTAATAAAATTTTGCAATATAATTGATTTTTTTAAAATAGATTTTTTTTTGTTATACTTGCACCATGGTGCACTCCCACGTGATATAATAAATAATCTATGTTATATAACATAAATACTATGTGATATTAGTTCACCAACAAAATTTTTACTATCATATGATGATCGATAAAAATAAGCTAATAATCAATTTGGTATAATATTATACAAGCAGAAAATTTTAAAACAAACGTTCATTTCATCAAAAATCACTTATATTTTAAAATCTGCATAAAAAACTACCTCTTGTATATTAACAAAAAATTTTTATTAATTGATTTTACTGTTTAAACCTTAACTATAATACTAAAATAGATCCTAACCTTAATATAAATGAACTTAAAAAATTTTGGTGCTATTACATGATAATAAAAATTTTGTTGGCGCAGATTCAAAGCATCATGTATACTTTTTATATAACACAATAATAGTGATCAACATAAGTATCACAAGACATAGTTCAAATACTAATACGTACTACAAAAATTAACTATAAGCCCTAACTGCTAATATGAAAAAAAACTATGTTATATTCATCCTGACTCTAACTCATTAACAAAGAAATATTTAAAATTCATATATATTGTTAAATACATACATATGTACATATATACATATCCAAACTTGTACCATCATACTATATATGGTATTATATATTGTAGCATAGTATTAGCACCTAATATGCATTTAAACAATCCTAAATCAAATACGTAAATAAATCTAAACATAACAATTTTGCTATTTTAAGATCTTTATGCTATATTATACCATCAAACAATTTATTTAATATATTCTTACTATCAATATTCTATGCTACACTACAACTATTATGCAATAGGCAAAATAAGCAAGCATTACTCAAACTAATTTTATCTTTTAATAAAGACAAAAATTATCAACTATTAGTATATACAATCGATATACAAAATCACAATTGATAATATGAAAATATATAAACCTTTAATCTCATAAATGATCTATATATACAATGTAATTATATCTTCACGTTCTCACAATTTCACATACCTACTCTTTCTCTTTATGTAGACAAGTTGCAATATTATGGCCCAGTTTCTTACAAAATTCACAGGTATATTGCTCATGTTTCTTACTATTTTTTTCTTGTGTAGTCACTATATTTTTATCATGACTTGATAACTTTGGCCTTCTTTTAGTAATCACCTTTTGAGGATTTGCTATTACCTTCTACATTTTTAATAAAATCTTGGTCGGTTGTGGCTTTTTGTTCCTTGGCCAATTTATCTTCTCTAACATAAATCTTTTCTAAATAGGTTTCAATTAAGCCAACAAATTCATGATTATGATACAATATATACTTATTAACAGCAGTATGAGTAAGACTCCAAATTTTTCTATAAAAAAAAATTTATTGACAAAAAACTCTTCATTTATAAGGTTACCAGTTTTATTACTAGCAAATGGTTGCAACCATGCAATTGATACTCACGAATTTCTTGAATGATATTTTCATTATTAGCTAATTTATTAAATCATTGGCTAAAGTATGAATATTCTTTTACTGCATCTAGTCATCTATTTCTCAGAATCCATTGTGCTGCTATTAATACCAAACTAAATTGTGCCTTCACTATAATATTTAATAGATGATAAAAATGACAACAAACAAGACCTTTTCTTTATTGCAAAAGACAAATACAACTATATAAACTATCCGCAAAAAGAAAGACAAAATGATTAACCTTATGACTTGTAACTCTTGACATTTTCTAGATCTCTTTAATTGTATTCTATTCTAAATAATCTAAAAGATACTTTGCAAAAAGACAAACTACATCAAACTCATTATTTATATCTTTACTTTGAGAAGATTCATAACCCATAAGTAATTCTATTTTTTCAATTGTAGAATGACTCGCAATATAATTTAAACTTTTCTTCATTTGTTTTATTAAAAAATATGAAACATTTAGCCTCAAATAGTGTTTTATTAAAGATTCTATAAGGGAAAAATAGTAACAACACTTGTTGTAGAAGAAATACCCTGTCTTCATTCTTCAAATTGCTTTCGCTTTTGTTTTTCTTTACTTATTTCCATTAATACTTTATCTAGATCACACAATGATGTGTTACTATTCTTCAACACTCGCTTGATACATTCATTTTGACTTTCAACAAAGAATATAGATTGAATTCCAAGTATAAATATCATTGTAATGAAAGCATATACCCATGAATGTCAATATTCATAAAGATAACATTCAAGATATAGTTTTGCATTAGAGAAGTTCAAAAGTTAAATCCAATAATATTCGAAGCCATGTAATATATCAGCAATTCTGTATTGCCAAAACATGCTATAAAATTTATCAAATGAATCTCTCAACGTAAAGATATAAATAATGAGTTTGATGTAGTTTGTCTTTTTGCAAAGTATCTTTTAGATTATTTAGAATAGAATAC